TTCAGCCAAGAAAACTTCTGTTTTGTACCTTAAATTAGGCCAAGACAGCTTCCTTCCATGTTTTACATGTTGGGTGTTTTTCACGTCCCAGCATGAACGAAAAACACCGATTTGGGTGGTAATGTCTGTTTACATGCATCAAATCCATTGTTGGGCAAAAACTGGATACACTAACCTCCGCTGTTATTCAACAATGAAATCTGGGAGCAGATTAGTACAAATATCATCTGAGGCCACTTTTGGAAAACATTTGCACAAAAATGATTTGGTCTCACAGCGCAATAACGGCCGATGTCGCAAAATTAACTCTTTTATGACATTCGCTCAAGAATGGCCTAAGGCGCAACAAAATTACCTAAGGAACACAGTGCGAGAACAACAGACGTGATTTGGCATAAAGAACGCCTCTTCAAAGCTTGTGAATTGTCAAATTAACAATAGACGCTAAATAAACCGAGTTTCTGATACTGTCGGTAGATAAATGATCTAAGTAACACGTATAAACCTCTGATAGTTGTATAGGCCAAGTTGCGTCGTCCCTTTCCATTATACCTAACACATGGCAGGATCTAATTTTCTATGGTCTGCTCCCGAGTTACTTGGCCTTTGTGTTGCCTGTTACGAAGTAGATCAATACAGCCATTACAGTGTTTAGTAAACTACGATGTGTCAGACTATTAATTACCCAATAACTGACAACAGGAACTAGTTACAAGACAGAAACCAATCCCTTTAGAAAGAGACGTTCTCCGCGTGAAACATAAACTGCAGTAAGTAAATAAATCGAGCGTTAAAGAACACGTGGAAGAACACAACGGATGCAAACTAATTACAGAAGGGAAGGCATATGGCGTTCTTAGGTGACCTCAGCACCTAGTGACACCAGCGAGGTCATTAGTCGTGTAGAAGCGAAATTAAATCTCTCTCAATTGCCTATGGCGTTCTTAGGTGACCTCAGCACCAAGTGACACCAGAGAGGTCATTAGTCGTGTAGAAGCGATATTAAATCTCTCTCAATTGGTCATATATATATACATACTACTTTTAATGTTCCAGGGGTTTCTACAACCCCTTCTGACAGATTTTACAAAAGACCACTTCATCCAGGGTCAGCTTTCCTGTCACGAACGTATTGTAATAACGCAAATATTTTTAAGTTTGATTTCAAAGTCTCTACGATAAAATTTCGCTGAACAAATATAATAAAGTTTGTTTTTAACAAATACCTCCAAGCAATTCGGACTAAAAGTTCCGACAGAAAGATACGTTGACCCTTTGTAACATTCGTTGCTTGCCAAAAACAATTTCTTATTTGCTTTCAGAACTGGGGACTTCAAATAAAATTTGTGCAGCCCCGCGATGAGGGTTGGTACGAATGTCAGGTGTCCACTCACCCACCAACAAGCATATTCGTGGAGCTCAGGGTCATAGGTGAGTACGCACAGACTTTTTGACTTTGGATATTTACCAGCCCCAATTTCTGACTTGTCACTGAAGTTTGTATTGTATCAACTTTGCAATTCTGTGATGGCAAACCGTTAAGTTGTTATGTGCAAAAGTACTTTTACGGGGAACTTCGACGCTACATAGTCTGTTTCTGGAAAAGCGTCGTAAAATAAACTATAAACAAAATGCACGAGTATTCATTGATCCATCTTACTAACTCATTATTACTTACAGACTACACTGGAGTTATTACTTGAATACAGTGTGTCCGAAAAAGATGTATACACATATTCAATGAATATGAGTTGATCAAAACTCAATATACACCGCAATTTTGCTTATCTGAATCATGTAAAAAGACGGTGTAGACCACACTAGGCCCTCCTCGTAAACACACAACACACAGATAACAAGGTTCATATTCCGTATTATAATGTATATACACCTATTTGGGACACACTGTATATTACAGATGCTAACAGGTTCATTTTATATCTGCTGACTAATTAACCCACTAAGTTTTTCTAATGTAAATATCTTGTAATAAAATATAATAAAATAAGAAAAGAAACACAGTAAAATATTTATATATTTTATCGGTGATCTACTTGTGTGTCTATGTTGTGGTTATACACAATAGTTGCTATTATTTCGTTAAATTTTATTACTACATATTCACGTGGTAAAATGTCACTGGCATTTATGAGGAAAACGAAGTAAAGAGTTGCTACAAAGTCCCCCTGAAGGGTCATTACAGCTTATCTGTGTGTTCCATTCTTTTATACGCACATTTTGATTTGTTTACGTGTTCTTTAAGTAATTTTCTTCCATGTTAAGGCTGGATGTATTAAAAAGAATCTCTAGGTTCTCTTTGGGTCTTGATTTGTTAAACGCAGTTGCAAAGGGATTTTGAGTCTACTTTGAAAAATGAACTTCATGACGTTTCCAGACGTGTTGTTCAAGAACTGATTCCAATGTAGTGCTATAATTATGCAATACCGCAACAGCGCAATAGACACTGGGAGTTGTGGAATAAGAGACGGCATAGTCGAACCGTTAGTCTCTGAGTTACTTAACGACGCATTCCTTTGCTGAGATTATATAACGTCGAATAACAGGATGATCTATGATGTAAAACGCGGTCATAGCCAGTTTCAAGGTACTTACCCGGAATTTGCCTGGAGAGACAGAGAAGAACACGAAAAACCTCGGGCAGAATATCCAGTTTATTTGTCGAGTCTGGGTCGAGGTGTGCCAACCATTAACACATGACCTGGAAATAAATCGATACTTAAGCTTAAAATCCTCCAGAATCAGCATAATCGTAATAATTATCAAATGAGATTGAATTTCCCTGAAAATTGAAGCAAGTATTACAGCGAAATATATGGAATGAACGTCATAATCATATGAGAAATGGTGATTTTGACTTCAAATTATGTCAACAATCCTAATTCAGCACATCTATATGACATTTCCATGATAATTATCAGTAATAATAATCTTAAAAGCTCCACTGTCCCCGGAAACATTATCGTAGGGCCTTGAATGATAGATATCTTTCGAGGTCTTACAACAATGTTATTATAAACAGTTTCAACTGAATCATAGTTGATATTGTTGTGGAGCAGAGTGGTTATTTTATCACCACCACCATCGTAACGGCATACAGAGTGAGATATTTTAATACATGAATAAACAAGAAGTGGCATAGAAGTTACACCTGTGTGAGGATAAGAAGGTAAAACGATATTACTATAGTGCTGACATATATTCTGAGTTCAAAACCTTTGGCTCTAATACTGAAACGTCTATTAATCAGCACCACTCTCTCCCCTAACATGTGCGATGTCACTTCCTGGGATATTCTTGGCTCCATCTCCTCATTTATTTTAAACCCCACATTACATTACCTGTGCTGCATGCGGATTTGATGTATTTTGTTCAAAGCACACGTGTACAGTCAAGGACTTGAGTTGGAAAGTCAACGACGGATCCGTCCAGCTGTAGCGCGACCGAGTGAACAGAGCTCATTTTTGTAACACCGCACATCTGATAGCTCCCAGTTAATAAATCGATTGTAAGGTTCTGAGTTGTAGAGGCTTTCAGTCTTGAAGGCGGCTACCAACGTTTCTGAGAAAGATTTTAATTTAAATCTGAAGAGGTGACACGGTTCTCCAAAACTTTGACATTCCTGGATTAAAATCTGTCCCGAAAACCGGCTCACTGACTGAGGATTTTCGTGGTTTTCTTAAGTCCCTCCAGGCAAATGTCGGAATAGTACCTCGCATTAGGCCAAGACGGCTTCCGGTCCAGACAATTTTATCTGATATATGAGGTCTCCACGGCAGTGAGGATGATGATGTTATTTTTGGGTTTTCGGGAAATGTGGATTCCGAAGTAGGCACCGACGTTTCGAAAAAAATACTATCTCTATCTTCAGGGCTCAATTTTATCATTCGATCCTATATAATATTAGCTATAGACATCATCCTTAAATGAACCATAAATAAATTGAGCACAAACCATCAGTTTGAAGCGAGTGTTTGTAATCTAATTTAAGGACCTGCCTGAGTAAACCATGAGGTTTATCAATCTACGAGAATGTCTGACAGGCCAGATCGAACCGGTTATTGCCAAAATATGTCAGATTCATTTAACGACGTTCCTCATGTCCGTACTACATAGAGAATCGAGGAGGAACATTGTTAATAATGAACTGTGAAGGATGTTAAAGGAAGCGGTCGTGATCTATTTTAATATACTGTCAAGAAGTTTAATAAAAGAATAATAATACAACAAATTGAACTCTGAGTCGAGAATCGAACCTCTGAATGTTTTAAATACGAAGTTTGAGTGGCAACAGACAGATACGAGTATAAGGCGATGCCAGTTTGTGTGCCAAAAAGTATTTTCATACAGCACGTTCAAACTAAAATGTAAAAGTACACACTCTCAGTACTGTAGTAGTAAATAAATTACATCTATTCAAGAGTTTCAAGAGCGTAGCTGAATCTGCCTGAAGAATATACGTTCTTTTATACGTCCTGTTCCTCACAATGACACACTACACAACAAGCTTTATCCATTACACTCTCGTGGCTGGTACCAACAAGTTCCACACTTCATTGTAAAAAGAAACAGAACACAATACGCCTAATTTTTTACGTGGTCGAATGAATGTCGGGAGGTAGACAAGGAAAGTAATTTATTTCAAATTTCAACTGATCCTTCCTGTAACCAGAATTGGTTTCCGTTCTATTTACATAAATGGCGTTTTTCAAGAAATGTTCCATTTAATTTAACATGAATGTCTGTAAAGGTATAGTAGCTTATTCCAAGGACATAAAAAAATGAGAAATGGCGAAAGAATTGTGCAGTTTCAGTACACGAGCTGACAAACTATGGATCTTTAAAGGACAGAACGCACTACAAAGAACATCGCAGAAATTAACATGTGTAAGCTACCTGGACCCAAAAACCTGCAATGCCTTATAGCCAGTAGAATTAATAAAATCCTTCCACCATGATGCAGTGTTCATAATTATAAAATATTAAAGATATTATTAGTACCATTCACATCGGTAAACCAAGTTAATAATTTGCTTGAAGCCGGAACTCGTCTAATATTTATGAATTTAACCCGTACCACGAAGAAAACACGAAACATTGTCATTACGAAAATAAACCAGCTAAGTAAATAATCCCTGTTTAAACTGATAAACATACGAAACCCGTACATACAAATGTGACATTAGTGATCGTTAAAGCAGACAGCTTCGTTGCCGCTTTAAAGGGTTAATAATCATATACAAAAGTAAAGTTTCTGATCTTAAATTTATACTACTTTTAATTATTTGTCCTTTAGAAACATTTTATCTATTGCTTACTCCTTCCTAAGAAACAGAACACAATACGCCTAATTTTTTACGTGGTCAAATGAATGTCGAGAGGTAGACAAGGAAAGTAATTTATTTCACTGAAGCCCTGATGTTCAGACGAAATTAATTTTTTACTTTTTACGTTCTCGTAAATTCTATCAACCACGATTAGGCTCCAACAGAGGCCATAGAATATAACACGAAAATTTTACTGTGTACTATAAATATGGCATGCATTTTACGGAAACAATTTTAAGCCATATCATGGGGCTTACACAGTAAAAGTTAAATGACTAATAAACAAAAGAAAAATGAACCGGTTATAAAACACTGTGTACTTCGTACAGAAGTACATTAAAAGCCGGTAGCATTAAGAAATGTTTACTAACTATAATGTACTCTTATTATAACTTTTAGATGTTCGCGGTAGTACTGAGCGTACAAATTATAACTTCTACACCTAGTACTTTGCCTCACAATTACAACTTTGAAAGCTGTACATTTC